TGACTGAAAAGCGAAGAACGTAGTAACGATTACAAATGGCACCAAAAGATTAGTTGAATGGTAGAAAAATTTGATCTTAAAGTTAATAATTAATTCTCTAATTAGAAATTCGAAAAATTGTGTTGATATTATTTAGAGGAAGAGAATTTTAATAGGATCTCAACCTTAGATATTTTTCTAAATTTTCTCAGTTTAATGTTAAAATTCACTTATGACGGTATCGATCTATAATGATTACAGATATGCTTTAGCTGTATTACAGCCTATATCATTTATTCGTTAGCAATCGATCAGTTTCCTTATATTCACTTCACTACTTTCTCTAGCATATGGAGAAGTGGATTTATACTATTATTTCTATCATTGCATCAACAGTAAATGCTGTTATTGTTACAATTGCAAAGTTAATAATAAAAGCAGCCAAAGATTCTCCAACAAGATCAATCATATTATGGCAAGCCGCAATACAGCTATTATGATGAATTTGATTTTCATACTTATGAAACACTAGTGATATGTGCATCATGTGGAAACTTTGAGGATATTATAAGGAACATGAGCTCTATTTTCGGATAAAGTTTTAGATTCAAATTCGTTAGTTCAGTTTTCTTCGTTATATCCTGGAAAGCGTTGAAAAATTCACTAAAATGACCATAACTCAAGAAAGTACTTATGGTACTGATCCATTTAGGACATTTATCTGCACCACGGATTCTAACAATCAGCAAAATATGAGCTCGAACGGAGTTCTCATAAGCTGGAAGAGTTTGCTCGTAAAAGAAGAAAACAATTTCTCGTTCTTCTTTCCTTTCTCTTGTTGTCGTTGAAAAATTTAAGAAATTATTATGCATGGTACAATAATTTTTTTTTTAATTATCTTGATGGAGAATGTTTTTCTACACAACATCATATTTGGTCTTTTGAAATGTCTTAAAACAATTAAGATTGAAATTAATAAACTAATCAATTCGACCTGTTTCGTTTTGCTTGGATTTCTGAGCAAACAATATCATTGTATCTTTTGTAAAAATCATGAAGTTTGACATTGATTTACAGTTTCTTTGAAAAGAGAAACAAAATTTGAGTGTGTGGGAAGTATAAGTGATTGAAAACGGACTTCTCCAATTTCCGAATCCAACAAACATGAGAAAAAGTAAACTTTTAATAATGTGTCAACAATCTAACGAAAATAGCATAGTAAAATATGTATTTTTTACTATTACGTTTTTACTCAAGATACTTAACGCATCGTTATGCTCTGGATATTTTTCATGGATCTTAGCTGCTTGAAGCAGAGTGCATATCAGTGTTTTCGATATTTTTTAGGAGTGGAAGGAACTAAAAAGTTGATAGAAACTACTTTCATCCTGGGAGTGTTAGAAGTGGTGACCAGATGGGGAGAAGACGGAGAACAAAACCCACCATAATCCGACACCTTTCACAATAAACGGCTTGCCACCAGGCCGCTCCCTTCCTAACCTTTTCACCTTGCGTCTAGAGGTGTAAGCAGAAGGGTCAAGCAGCGACGACGACTTTAATCATTAAATTTTTATCCATAGAGGCAGCGCCTGCTAGACTTTAAGTTTTTCTGCACCGGTGGCGGCTTTAACAACCAAAAAAAAACATATTTGCTCTCAAAAGACGAAAAAGTAATTGATCGTATATGTATAGATGGCAACGGCGACAGTACCTTATACTATTATCAAGAATTTTCATTCGTGGTAGCGGTGCAGCGGCTGAACTTGCTTTTTCACAGCGGTGGTTCCTAAAAAATTCTTAAAATTATCTAAGATTCCGCGACGGTGGCGATTTATTTTTCAAACAAATCAGCGGCGGCAACGGCTCAGCCGTACGGCTTACACGGCTACTTGCAACGACATAGTCCGCTTATTATTAATTATTTCACTTTTGCCAATGAAAGAGAAATGAGGTTTCAAAATTCGATTTCTGTCCAAAATTACCACGAAGCTGTGTAAAAATTGGCAGAAAATCGGACATTTTGGGGAGGGGGGAAGGTTCCCTATTTTCCTCGAAGCAAGAACCCTGATGTAGATAAATTTTTAATTATTTCAATTTTGTTACCATGTGGTAACAATAACTGATTAGTTGAGGATTGATCTATAGGAATCTGAATCAAATTAAAAGTTTTTTTGAGTCTTAAATTTGTATATACATATATACATATCGATCAAAATCAAGTTAACAGGTCATTACTACAAGATTATAACACGATTAAAATAACATATTCAGTATATTCATTTAAAATGGCAATTTATAGCGTTTATGAACAAGATGAAAAATACATGAAGCAATTTTGAAATACAGATTTGTGCATGCTTTGAATATTGCATCAGAAATAATTTAACTCTACAAATTTAAAATTGCAGACTTTTTAGAAAATTAAATCATCTAACGAATGAACTTGTTTTTAATTTTCCAGCAGGTACAAAAGACACCAAAAACTTGATTAAAAGAAGTGGTTCATTCTTTATGCGCCACTCATTATAGAAATTTTTTCGGTATCCAAGTGAAGAAATACAGGCAGTCTCCAGTCGGGAAAGCACTGAGAATGGTAGGAACTTGAAAAAAAGAATTCGGTGACCGACTTTGTCCAATCCCCACCGGAACTAGTGAAATTTGGTCATCGGATCCAATACTGGATTTGTAGTTCCAAATTCTTACTAGTTTTCAGAGTTTTTCGGCGGATTCCGGCTGGAAATTTGAGGAGCTTGGCATCTGAATCATTGATCTGGATTAAACTTTTTACTTATGATGTTCAAGATAAAACTAGAATGAAAAAGAATAAATACACATATTCGAACATTATTTTAACATATATAGTTCAATAGAATATTTTTTAAATAATGATGTCAATTGAATACATTAAATTTTGGATGATAATTTAGATGCTAATCTTAAATATATATTCTTTATGTCTATTCAACGTTGTACATTTGAAAATTTACTCAAACAAAAGTTACAGCACGTTAGAACTAATAAAATTCTATTAGTGCTATCCACCTAGGACAATCTATTTTGCTTTCGACAATAAACAGAAAGATAAAAAATTGACATTATTGATATATAACGATCGATCGTTTCATATATAATTGCATTGCCTATATCATAGTTAAAACTAGTATTTCGATGAAGCCATTAAAAACCTAAAGATTGACTCTTATTGAATCACTCATTTTGGGTCTTTGATCTATTAACTAGATCAGCTTTCAAGTAACTGTAAGAAGAAACATTGTAATAAATTGCCAAAAAATATGTCATGCTAGGTATAAATACAAATGAAAAACCTACGGAGAACGAATCAATTACTGATATGAAAAAAACACAGAAAAAATGATAGTTGATTGATTGCAGGATCGATCAAAACTTTCGAGAAAGTTAATAGAAATAAAACAAAAACGAAAGAGATAGAATTTATAAGAATCAAAGAGAAAAAACGAAAATATATACATGTTAACGTCTATGAACATGATTCCATCGTTGAACATATCTTTTGTTAACTATAGAAATATTTTCTCAGAATGACAATTTGACAATATCAATATTATATAGAATTGGGCTACTCGATGTTCTCGATTATTCTGATAAAAATCACGACTCATGAAAACTTAAAGCACACTATTCACAAGGTTCAGGCAAATAATTCATTACTTTTCTAACAGGGAACTGATATTTTAAATCTATTATAAACTCTTTTACAGTTCATCACAAAAAGAAAGTTATTGTATCATATGATTCAATTGAAAATATCAACTAATGCAAAATATTCGAAATCAACCACAAAATAAATGCGGAAAAAAACGACATGAAATATTCTTGGTTTTGTTGCATAACCTATTTGTTCATTGATTTTGAACAAAATTGATGAATACACAGAAAAATAAAAAGTCTGCTCTATTATTACGATAAATATAAAAGTGCTTTGACAAAGAGGGCTAGCAGACATTGATACTGCAATCAATTCTATTTATTCAGTATGTTTTATTCACTTACAAGATGATTGAAAAATTTAGTTATTTTTACGTTTTATCTCTATAAGACTTGCTTTTGCTGCTAATTATGTTCAATTATAAATACATCAACATCTAGATTAATTTTCAACTCATGTTTAATTTTATATTGTTCATAAGGTTCACTGCTTATTCATACCGAAAGGTGAATATAGTAAATTCAACTAAAGTATCGCAATAAGCATGGTTAAATGTATCTATACTAAAATTCACAAAACGCTCATCACAGATGAACATTTGCATAAGAAAAGTAGTGTAATGAACGCATCAGTCGGGTTATCTGATAAGAAGGAACTGGAACAGTATAGAAGTCAATTTTTGTTTCGTCGATAACTATCAAAATTTTCAGACAGTTTCATAACTCCAATTTATCAAATCTTGTGTACTTCTGTGCTTCTAAGTAAGTCAAGCTATAGATACAACACAAAAAAAATTTGTTCACAATAAAAGCTCATCTCCAAACTTTTGACTTGCAAAATAAATTGGAAGTCCAGTGGGCTATTATTTTATGGAAGGTTTATGTATTTTTCAGATGCTCAATCTAATTAATAAACTTCATCTATCAAACGATCATTAATCACTACATGGAGTGCCATACCCAAGGTGATGAATTTTTTAATCAAAGATTATTTAAAAAAATAGTTTCAACATATGTCTTCAAATAAATCCATTGTACGTGATGAAACATGGCTACTAACTCAAACACTTGTTGGAGTAAAAACTTAATTAACTTTTTCCTGTAAGATTTTTATCTGTCAAAATTTATTACTTTTTATATTGCCCTAGGTATGCAGTTAATTAATTACAAATATATATAATTTCAACATGAAATAAGTAGATGATTTCGTTTCTGTTTATATATGTTACAAGAGAGAATTTTTATTTTTCGGTACACTGCACATAAGACATTGATTAAATAAATCAAAACAAGAATTATGATGCAAGCATACAACAATATTGTTTTTAAAAATAATGATGTCATGTGTTGATGATGAAACAAATGTTTATAGTTTTCATGTCAATAAATTTTTTAAAATTCAAAGAGCATTTCATCAATTTGATGTAAATCATAATGGATTTATAACAGATGATGAAGTGCATCAATGCCTTTGGTATTATTATTCTTATTTCAATGATTTTAATATACCATATATTTCATCACAGATGAGTTATAATCAAGATGAACAAGTCAGTTGCGATGAATATATGAGATTTATGTGTAAAATTAATTGACACGAAATTCTATGAAGCTTTTTAAAACAATAATAAATGAATTGATTATTTAATTTTTATTAGTAATATTCATTTTTAAAATAAATTATTTGTAAGGTTCATTTTCACTTTAATTACATTTTTACACTGATTGATGTGTTTTATATACACAGCGCTGCGTGAGACTGAGAACACGATGATTCTGATGAAAATGTTCTAAATATAAAATTCTTCTTTTTTATATTTCTCAAGTGCGACTGCTTTGTCAACTAATTGTCGTCGTGCACTAGAAAAAAAATGATTTTTTTTTCATAACCAGTTAAAAAAATAATGACAAAAAAAGTACTTTATTGTTTTTTCTCTCGTTCTACTAACAAAATAAATTCTCACTTTCTTGACAAAGATAAGAATGAAAAGAAAGAAGAAACAAAAGGAAACAAAACGTTGTTACCAGTTTTTATATGTATACATACAGATTATTTGGAAATTACATGATGAAATAGACGTTTTTCCAAAATACGATCATTTAGCACTACAGTTCTCTATAAGTTCAATTTTCTAAACCAGAACAATGGAGTGTGGGCATTGTTCCTTCATCCACATTCTCAAGATGCTCTTTTTTTTTGAAATATTGTTTAAATATTGTGCAGATGATAGTCGAATCCAAGTATATTATACATCGATATTATATTGCTGGTTCACTTAGAGATTATATTTGTATATGAAATGAGCGTAACAAACAACGATAGAAAACTCTATAAAAAGACTGTTAGTTAGTTCTACATCATAGTTTGTCAATAATCAAGATCAAGTATGTTTAAATGACTTTACAACACGAAACAATGACGAATGGATCAATACTATCATCTTCATCATGGTACAACTGAGAATCTTTTACACAGAAGACTGTGTGATCCATGCATCTACACATTGTAAAAAATAAGTGTAGAATAATAAATCGTCACTATCCATTTATTACCATTATATAAACTCTTTTTAAGTTGACGAGCGTAATCTATCCTTTCTGTTCAGAAACCTTGACAAGAGTTTGTGACTCGTTACAAATTAATATATTCTCATAGTGTTTTATGTATTTATAAACCGTTTTTAGGCATATTACTCTATTAACCTTTAGGCGAAGATTATATTATTCTATGGTTGTATTTAAAATATGCAATGATAAACTCGTCACCTAAAGATTTATTTCGTTCATATACTCAAAAAGGATTTATGAACATAGAAAACAGTACAAAGGTATACGAATCTGCACCTGGCCAAAATTTACGAACAGAAAGGATGGATTACGCTCACAAACTTAAAGAGAATTTACATAATAATAATAAACAAATGGTGAGGGTTTATTATTCTAAACTTTATTCTAGATTGCATGCAAATGTCATTCTTCTCTCTAAATGTTGTTGACGACTCATTTGTTCAAGTGTTTCATCAAATATTGACACGCCTTTTGAGGTTAAAAACAAATTGTTCTTGAACGTCTTCTTTTATACAAGCTGTTTTTTCAAAGATTTCCGGAAGCAATTATTCACTCATGATTTTATGATTTTTTTTTCTTTTGTACTCAATGATAATCATGGATCTCTCTTTTCTTTTCTTTTCATTCTGTCATCAACCTATCAATAGAAAAAAATTGTCTGCTCATAATCTTTCTTCAATAATTTTTTCAAATGGATATCTGGAATCAAATTTCGTATTATGAAAACGGGCATCATGCATTTCACACCTAAAATGTTCAAATTTTTAGACACGAAAATAAGGGACTATGCTGGTAGTAAAGGCAACTACAAGATATCTATAAAAAGCATAATTAAGACGAAACCATTAGATCTTTGGAACTTAACTGTCTTAAGCTCACGTTTTTTCTTAAATTCATATGATCGAGAACATCGTTGTAAATGGTGTTAACCATAACTATTAGTTGATGTGAGCAGGATTTGTCGTAATAAACCACAAGTCACCTAAGAATCACTATAAAACAAACTCTGGAAACTATTAGCGATGATTTAAAAAATCTATAGTATCTGCAAAACTATTCCGAGAACCGTAAACCGTGCAACTAATTTCACCTCAAATATGTTGATCCATCTCATTAATGCCAAATGCTAAAGTTGATATTTTAACATTGATGCATGATACAATGATACATTCATTGTCTACCAGATAGTTGCATTTAGACATGGATCAAAGATGATCTAGTACAACCAAAAAATATTGCCGTACTCTCAATCACGTTTTAGAAATTGCACAAATATATAGGATGAAATATACGTGACTGGATGCAATTTTATATCTTAATGATCAATATTATAAGTAAATAAAATAATGTTATTTTAATATCTCATTTCATTTGTCTATATAGTTGCATAAATGTAAAAATTCGTATGAATATTCATCTTTAATATGGTCATTGATAATATAAAGACAAAAATATGTGAAAAATTTAAAAGCATAAAAAGTCAGCAGTATTTGTTCTTTGTATTGTTGTTGAATTTTAAATGATTATTGAAAATGATGAAATCTTACTTTCTCACCAATGAAAGAAGTTCGACTAGAATAAGAGAGAAAATAGATTCAAAACTATGAACAAGAATACAGTGATACTAACTAGGAATCGGAAATACGATGGTAGAATTCTTCTCAGCTGATATACTCGTTAACGTTTGAAGATAGCGCAGTTGTAAAGCAATTGGACTTTGATTGATAATATCGGCGGCTTCCTTAAGATAAAAACAGGAATTTTATGCATATGAATTCAGACAGAAATCTTACTTTGAGAGATCGTGAAGCTTTCTGTTCACCTTCGGCAGAAATAATCTTTGCACGAGCTTCACGTGCAGCTAGAAATAAAACATCGATTTTATGTTATTTTCAAATTCAAACAATGAGTTCATACTAACCTTCAGCTTCAGCAGCCATACTACGCTGCATACTCACAGGAAGTCGAACATCCTTACTGGAATCAATAATTAAACGTAGATTGTGAGAACTTAAGATACTTACATCTCTACTCGTTCAACTTTAACACCCCAAGGATCTGTTCCTTCATCGAGATGTGTTTGCATCGAATGCGAAATATTTTCACGATCACTTAAAATTTCTTGCAATGTCTTCGTACCTCTACATACACCAACAAACTTGAATGTTTTTTATAAAATCATAAACTTATTGCTCACAAAATGTTGCGCAACGTAGTAGCAGCTAGTAGTTGTGTTGAAACACGTGAATTTTCAACATTAGTCACGCTGATAACCGGATTGAAAATTCGAAAATATACTACAGCATCAACTGACACAGTCTAAAAAAAAAAGAAAGAAATTTACAAAAGTATTTTATTCATTCCAAATAGCTGACCACAGAATCACGTGTCAGAATTTCTTGCGGTGGTACATCAAAGGTAACTAGAAAACAAACGTTGAAAATACTTTCTATGTTTCCTATAAACCTCGATAAATATCAATTCTACTAACCAGTTCTTAAGTCAACTTTGATTATCATATCGACGCAAGGTAAAATGAAAAATAGACCGGGACCCTTGGCACCACCTATTCAATTGCAGAAACATTATTCAAACATAACTATTTTATTAACGGATCTTACCGGGAAGAATTCGGCCGAGACGCATAATGACTGCACGTTCATACTCTTGTACAACCTAGAAGAAAATTTTTGCTGGTTACAACGAAAGAAAGAAATTTTCTTAGATCACTTTAAGTGAACAACTTACCTTGATTGTGACAAATAGTGAAAATGGAAATGTCAGTATGAAGACGATATAGGAAAGGACCACTAAAGCCCACCCGCAAGCACCGATACCATCTTCCGAATCACGAATGTCGCCTGTTGAGTAAGAGAAAAAGAACAAAATAATAAAAAACCTATTTGATTATTTGATCTCTTATTTTCTTATCATAAAGCTAGTAGTGAAGCGAGATGTGTATGTGTATTATCGAAGTTTAGTTATCTTAATGTCATTACTAAGAGTGCTCGCAAATGAATGAGAAGAACTCGGCAGCAGCAAACAATAGAAGGAACAGAGAAGATTTTTTTTTACTTTGATGATTCGTTGAATGACTTGGTCTAATGACTCGTACCGGACTCGCTGCAATAGTGCAATAAATACATTACTGAAAGATAATGATATTATAGACTGTAATAAGTTACCTTCCGGATGGTTTCTACTACCAATTACATGTTCATGTTTTGTTGACATAACGATTAAGCGTGTAGCTGAAATAAATTTATTTAATCTCTAGAAAACACAAGCATATACACCAATTCAACAGTTCCATATTAATTTTATGAATGCTCATTCGAGCATTCTATGTTGAAAAGAAAAAAAAGTGATTCGAATTCTGTCATCGTCTCATTTTTTTTTTACATTCTTACAATCATTTTCTTTCTTACGTTTTCTTTCTTATCGTGATTTTTTTTTCTCATCATTATAGCGCTTGACGTCAATGCCATGAAAAATATGGAGAGCGAGAGAGAACAACGCAATAAAACGATGTCGAATACGTGCTTATTCAATGAAGTATTGATGTAAATAATACCAGAAAAAATTGCTGAAGTTTTATTTAGCATTTGATAAACTAGAATGGATGAATAATGTGTCCGTCATCATGTGACAATGTTTGACTTTAAATACTAAAAACTACGACAACGTCTGAATTGCCACTGTGCTATGACGACATCTACAAATAATAATTCAATGAGCACAAGATAAAAACGGCGGTGAAAGAAAAATAGTATTCCTTTAGCACGTGCTCCACCGTTAATCAATAGTATCATTATAACTGATGCTCCATTTCATAGAAAAAATGCTCCACATACTAATTAGTATGTCGAGTATTTTTTCTATGAAAAGGAGTACCTGCTATAATGATGCTACCAATTAACGGTGAAGCACGTGCTAAAAGAAGACCAGAAAAATTTATCGTTCCTTTAGTTGCCGACTATTGCTGTAAAAAAATGCAAAAAAAATAAAAGGAAAAAAAATACGGATG